AGAGAGGACCCTCCAGCAGCCACCTGCTTGCTCAGCTCCGCTCACACAGCAGAAAGCCAGCATCTCCCACACCTTCTGGCCTGGCCCCGGTCACTGAAATCAGTCCCAAATTGCCAGGAACCCAGACCCTGAGCCTCCCAGGGCTTTCCCTCTTCGTGGAGCCTATGTTCCATCCAGAACAAGGAGGCGGGGACCCCAAAATAATCAAAGAAATAAACTGTATGGTCACAAATTGTGATAAGTGCCAGGGAGACAGGGGGCAGACCAAGGAGACAGGGGCTACTCGTAAATCTGAGTGTTTACACCAAAGGGTTAGAATTTCCAGAATATTTCCTGGGTTTGGGGGGAATGAGGTTTTGTTGGGAGAAAAGAAAAGAAAAGAAAAGAAAAGAAAAGAAAAGAAAAGAAAAAAGAAAAGAAGGAAGGTAGGTCTCCATAACTATAATCTAATCCAGGAGTCGGCAAACTATCACCATGGGCCATATCCACCCCGTGGCCTGTTTTTGTGCAGCCTACGTATGACTTCTTGCATTTTTTTTTTAAACTTCTTACATTTTTAAAGGGCTGTAAGAAAAGAAAACAAACAAACAGAACAAAGAAGGATGTGTAACAGGGACCTTTATGGCCCACGACGCCTGACGCATTCACTATCTGGCCCTTCACGGAAAAAGTCGACGGCCTCGGAATCTCACCAGGTTTCGCTCACCGACAGCTTTCCTGGCCTGGGCCGGCTGGGAAATGCAGCATGAAGGGACAGACCAGACAGCCGAGAATTTTCCATTTCTGCCCACGAGGCTGAGCGCCATCCATCACAAACCTTTCAAAGCCAAGGCCCAGGAGGTTAAGCGATTTCTGCTCTGGCTCAGCGAGGCGAGGTCGGGGGCCACGGGAGGATGGATGTCCTCACACACCAAAAAGAAAGGAGTGCTCGTGCGGCCTCTCTCGCTGTCCATTTCTCATCAGCTTTTTAGGAAGCAAGGGAATTAATTTTCCCTGTTCCGGTATGCCAGGATTAGTGGGATTTCTGTTCTATGAAATAAGTGGGGGAGGAAAGGCCTACTTATGAGTCAGGGCTCTCGGTTTCGAGTGACAGAATCCCAATTCAAGGTGACTAAAGCAACAAAGAGTTTTGAGTGGCTCGTGTTACTGAAAAGTCCAGAATTTGCACAGCCTTCAGGCATAGCTGGATCCAGGGGCTCAAAACGGCACCATCAGGACTCATTGCCTCTGTTTCTTCTGGGTTGGTTTCGTTCTCAGGGAGGCTCTCCCCCTCATGAGGCAAGTGGCACCAGGGGCCCACGTCTCCCCCTGCGTGCCAGCCTCAGCCGAAAGATGTGGTGTCCTCGATAGTTCCCAAACTGAATCTCATTGCACGCTTCCTGGATCACTGACCGCCCCTCTACCCAGCGATTGGGGCCAGGGGATGAAAGGATCTCATTGGCCAGGCTTAGTCACGTGCTCTCCCAGGAGTGGGGTGGGAGGAGTCAGCCCCACCTGGTCTGCCGGTGCTGAGAGGAAGGAAGAGAACTTTTCTCCCCCAACGAGATCAGGAGGCCACTGCCAGGAGGAGGAACAGACACTGAGCCATCAAAGGCAGCCGCTGCCCCCACAGAAAACGGATGACATTTCTCAGGCCCCTTTGCTAAGTCTCCTTACCGCCCATTTCACGGGCGAGTAAACTGAGACCCTGGAGGTAAAATCAGTCTCTCAAAGTTACAAACTTAGTTCATGATGGAGGCAGGGTTCCCGTCCTAAGTCGACTCATCCTCCTGCTACCCGCACTGACCGTCATGCATTTACTTCCAGTCCCGTCCTCCAAGAGCCTAGCAACACCGCATGCAGTCGGTGGGCAATAAACGCCCCTCGAGTCAAACTGTTGTTGAGTGCCCGCCCCCCAGCGGACTGTAAGATGCCCGAGACCACGTCTGTCTTGTTCACCGCGGCATCCCGGACGCCTGACACGTGGTAGGTGTTCCACAGACACTTGGCAGATGAATGCCCACGGCCTTAGCATTTAGCACATAGTAGGCGCTCCGCAAAGAGTTGGTAAATGAGCATGGCCTTAGTGTCCACACATAGTAGGTGCTTAACAAATAGCTGGTGAAGAAATGAATGAATCTCAAGCGGGAGCCAAAGCTGCCTGATGGATGACATTTCCAGATCATTAACAAGATAGATGGAGAAGGGGGGGGGGAAGGGGAGGGGGGGCGATGAAGGAGCCTTGGTTCCTACGGAAGGTCCTAGAGAGGACCTACAGCGTCAGGGTTACTTGGAGGGGAGCACTCAGCTTTGGAAAGAGACGCTGGGTCTTTGTGAGCCAGGAGAGGGGGGAGGTGGGGCTGGCGGGAGGAAGCCAGGTCAGCCAGGGCGCAGCCAACTGGCTGTGCCAGGGACACTGTGCCCCGGGCAGGGCCCTGCCCCGCCCCGCCTGCCCCTGACCTTGCCTCATCCGACAATAGAGCATCCATTGTAAGGGGGTAATTGGGTTCCGGCACATCCCCTCCCTGGAAGCAAAGGGAAACACAATTTGCTTTCTATTTGTTACTGCGGCCAAGACTCCACTCCCTCCTCTGCCCAGCCCCCCTCCCCATCCTGGCCCTGCTGAGCCGCTGTGACATTCCTTGGCCGGATTCGAGCTGCGGGCCCAGGCTGCATAACCTGGGAGAATCTGCGTGACCGAAACCTAAAAACAGCGTAAAGGGCCTTGCGGCCCGGGGTTCACATCCTCTCCTATGGGAGCCATAAATATGGCCCTAACTGGAGTCTCTCCGCCCACATCCGGGCTCCTCTGCAGCTGTGTGGCCTTGGACCAGTCTGTCACCCTCTCTGGGCCTCAGTTTCCTCACCTGTAAAACAGGGATGACAACAGATGAGAAAGGCTGTAGGCGGCTCAGGATTGTTCATCCAGGCAGGGTTCTGGGCACGGACGCCATTCGAGTCATTGTTTGGGGAGTTAGAGCCTCCTGGTCTCAGCTGACTCTGCAGAGTTGGGTGTCTCGGCCCCAGACCACTTTGAAGTGGGGAAGAAAAGGGGCACATACTCAGGGGGGCCTTCTCATGAGCCCCAGGGCTGTGCCTACCCTGCCCACTCACATCCAGCGGACCCACTGAAGGTCTGGTGTGTGCCCGTCTTGTGTTGATGGGGGAGAAGCAGGGAGGTAAGGGAAGAGACATACAAAGCAGTGGAAGGCTTGGGCTCTGCCTGTGAGGGGCTGACAACCACCTGAGTTGTGTTAGAAGACAAACGGGCTCTGGGGATGTGTCCCTGAGCCCCCAAGTGGTGGAGGAGTTGAGGCAATGCAGCAGGCATGGAGGGCTTCCTGGAGGAGGTGAGGTAGGTGTGCCTCCTTCCTCTGCTGGGGATCTTGGGTGATGTATTCACCTCTCTGGGCCTTGTGACCTCATCTTTTGGAGACTTCAAGAAAACAACAGCCCCAGCCAGCCAGGCCTGTAATGGAGAGGATTAGGGCCATTCACAGAGAAACCAAAACATCTTGAACTTGGCTTTTGTTGGAGTGAGACCTTGGCCTGGGTGTTCAGAGTGACCCTGCCCAAGGCCCTGAAGATCCAGGGAAAAGACAGACCTGCACCGAGGCTCCAGTTCCAAAAGCCGTTGGACACCCAGGCAAGTCAATTAATCTCTGAGACTTGGTTTCCCCATCTATAAAACGGGACACCATGAACTCCAGCGTGACTGTGTGTGCTTAAGCCAACAGCGACTTGGCACGCAGTAGCTGCTCAATAAACCGTAGCAACTACTCCTGATTTCTAGAGCCGAGATGGTCTGAAAAGCTCACGGGGACCGGCCAGGCAGCAGAACCCAGGACTTACCCGTGGGGGCTCTTTGAGACCCCCACCCCCCCTTTCGGCAAACGAACTTGGACGCAGCGGTAGGGCCCAGCATTGGTTCTTCCGGGGCGTCAGGGGCACACGATCAGGTCCATTCTAATCTCATGACTCACTCCCACCATGGATGGGTGCCTGGTCTTATTTCACAGCTTTGTGTCTGTCTTTCTCTTTGTACCTTTTTTTTTTTTTTTTTTTTGGTACTTTTAAATTTCCTGTTCCATAATATAACGGACACTCCTGACTCTCCTCCCCCCATTCCGGAACATGAATACGACTCATGGAGGTACACGTGCGTCCCCCCACCCCCCAGAAGGGAGCACGATTCCTTGATTTACTGCATATTTATACTGTCCTCACTCTGGGCCGGGAACACGAACCTGAATGGGTATTCATCATTCCCCTGCGTTTCTACATGCAGGTGTGTGTGTGTGTGTGTGTGTGTGTGTGTGTGCCTAACGTGGTTCTCACACGCGTGTGCTCAGAAACACTGGGAAGCCTGTGGGAACAGATTCCAGGCCCCACCCCCCGGAGGGCCCGGGAATCTGCATTTCTGACACGCTACCCCAGAGGATGCTGCTGCTTTGGGACCACACTTTGCGAACCATTGCCCTAAATACCGCCGCAGCACCCGAGCTGTGATTGTTTTCAAATTCCTATCAAGGGTGTGGTGTCCCTTGTGGCCTTCCGTGACCAGATTTTCTCATCCTGCCCCAGTGATTCTCAAGCAGGGGCGATTTCACCTCCCGGGGGGAACACTGGGCAATGTCTGGAGACGGTTTTGATGGTCACCAGTCGCGGGGGGGCGATGTGCTCCTGGCACCTGGTGGGTGAGAGCCAGGGGTGCTGATGAACATCCTGCAGGACAGCCTCCCCGCACCAGGGAACAAGTGTGAACCTGTCCCAGGAGAAACGGAAGCATATGTCCGCGCAAAACTCCGTACGCAAATATTCACAGTATAGCGCTATTCGCAAAAGCCAAAAAATGGAAACAACCCCAGGGGCGCCTGGGTGGCTCCCTTGGTTGAGCATCCAGCTTTGGCTCAGGTCGTGATCTCGCGGTCCGTGAGTTCGAGCCCCGCGTCGGGCTCTGTGCTGACGGCTCGGAGCCTGGAGCCTGCTTCTGATTCTGTGTCTCCCTCTCTCTCTCTCTGCCCCTCCCCGACTCCCCTCCTCTGTCTCCCTCTCTCTCTTGAAAAACATGAAAAAAGAAAAAAAAAAGCGGGAACAACCCAAACGCCCATCGACCGACGAGCACCTAAACAGACTGTGGTCTCTCCATGCGGGTGGAAAACGGTGCGAGAGGGCTCGGCGCTCTGGGGGTTTCCTTTCAGGGTTCTGAAAATGTTCCACAAGTGATGGCAGGGCTCTGTGAAGAGAGTAAAACTCATCGAACTGTACGCTCTAGAAGGGTGAATTGTATCACATGCGAATTACGTCTCAGTAAAGCTATTATTGGAAAAGGACAATGGGGAAAAAATAATAGAGTCAAAGTTTGCAAACTCCGCCCTACGCTCTGCCCTCGAGCGAGACGACGCGTGTTCATTTCCACTGCTGTGTAATATTCCTCTGTGTGAACGAGCCACGATTTGCTTACCCGTTTTCTTTCCAGTGAGCGGAACGGCTGGCTCCAGATGTTGCTACGGTGAACAGGGCTGCGACGCACCTCCTTGTACGCGTGGCCTGGGGCGCGCGCGCGAGTGTCACTTTGGCGTGTCCCTGAGAGAAGAGCGAGCCGCTGAGTCGCGCGGAACAGCAAGATTCGCCGTTGCGAGAAGATGCCAGTGTTACATCGAGCTTCTTCTGTTTGCTCCAGGGCCCGGGGCTGAGTCCCCACCGGTCCTCTCGCCGAACTGTACCTGCAACCGTGTCGTGGGGCCCATTTCAGAGACGAGGACACTGAGGCTCAGAGAGGTGAATTAACCGGCCTGGCCTAAAAGCGTTGGGTGATTCACGGCCTCTTCCCGCCCAGCCTGGGGCGGGGAGATGACAGGGGATGATAACTTGTTCAGAAAACAGCCGTTACTTGTGGAGCCTCCGAGAGGCTCCCCGGGGGGCAGCCTGCTGAACTTTCTAGAACTCCTGGCAAACCTACATCACACGTCACGGCCACCAGGCGCCCGGAATCCTCCCCCGCCCCGGTCTCTCCCTGCTGCCCTACACCCAAGCCCCAAGCGGTACTTGCACCCCGAGCGGGGCCGGAAGGTGCGCGAATGGTGTGCGGGGGAGGGGTGCGAACCGCAGGCTCCGTTCCAAATCCCACCGTTATCATGGACGTGCTGTGCGACCAGGGGCCGGTGACTTGGCATCTCGGAGCAGATCTCCTCCCTCAGTGAAACAGGATCATCCGATTTTTATTTCCTTCCAATCAACATACAGCCCATTCCAAGCCCTCATTCTTCCAAGATGATAGCAAATTCCGTCTCCGCTGCAAGACTCGGGCTCCTCCACGCTGGGTGACATCAGACACCGAACGGCTGAGAGGTCCCTCTGGCCGCCGCACCCCACCGAGGACCCTGAGACGCTTGGGATCCAGGAGCACGCGGCCCCGTCCGGTGTGAAACTCTTCAGCATCCATGTTGCACGGGAGGAAGGGGCTTGTCTACACTGGGCCCGCTTTGCTTAGGGCACCCCCTCCCCGGCGCATGATGCAGCTTCTAGATCCTGTCGCCTTCCTGGGGCAGCCCCGCGGAATGAGGTCGCAAGGACTGCCTCCCTCCTGCCGACCCCAGCCCCCCGCGTGTGGAAATCTCTCTCCCGCTCTCGCTCCCCCCTCCAGAAGCAGCTCAGGACGCCGCCTGTCCCGCTGTGAGAAAACTTCCACGGGGCCATCGCCGCTGAGCCGGGGCACCCCTCCCTGCCCCCCTTGTTCCACGGTGGAGTGGGGGGTGGGTAGAGGGTTAAGGGGTTAATGCACGCAGGGCGGACGGCTCAGGAGGCCTGGCACACGGCGAATCCCCAGTAAATGGCAGTGACCCGTGGGGACGGCAGCACGGAGCACTGAGGAGCCCGCCTCTGACCTTCTCCAGGGCCCGCGATCGCTTCCTAATTGCAGCGAGTAATTACTGAGCGCTCATTGTGCACCAGGCACCGCCCCAGATTCTGAGGGTACAGTCAGAAGTCAAGGCCTGGTCCCAGCCCCCTCTGGGCCAGAGTTGGGTCCCTGGAGAGTGGCCACCCCAGGGGCCCTTTGCCTGTGAGCCCGACCCGCTTTAAAATTTAGCAGTAGACACAGGGAGGGAGACTGCTGTTCACTAAAGCCTGTAGCAGAAGGAGTGAGGGGGCCGAGTGGGGGAGGGGGGATTAGAGGCAGAAATCAGCGTCTCCAGGAGGGAGAAAAAAAGTCCCGACTTCTAGGATGGCTCCCTGATCAACAGTAACGCCTCTGGCTTTCCTGCTTACAGTCACACAGTAGGATTTTTCTGTCCTCCCAGCCCCGCCCCCAGAAGTGAGGCGAGGCCCCGTGACTGGCCCCGGACCAAGGAGACAGGAGCGGAAGTGAGTTCAGTTGCTCCCGAGAAGACACTGTAAGAACCGGGGCACAATTCGCCCGGTGCCCAGGAACAATGCACGTCGTAGACGGGATGCTCGCTCCGTCAGCCTGGGCCCCCCGGGTGAGGAAACGCGGAGCCCAGAGCCGACCCCCGGAACACACGCAGCAGCAGGGAGAACTGAGTTGTGGCTGTGTCAAAAGCCGCGAGAGTGGAAGGGGTGGGGGGGGGGGGGCGCTTGTTACTACAACCTAACTGAGCTGGTGCCGACCAGCACGTGCCCATTTCACAGATGTGGAAACCGAGAGCCTGCCCAGAGTCAAACGTGGAGGCACGGCCAGGACTCACAGCCTGGTCTGCCCATCGCTTGCGACCTTTCTGGAGACGAGGTGGCTCCAGCCTGAACAAAGCCAGCCACACCCCTCCCTGCTAACCCCTTCAATTAAAGCCGATTTCAAGGTCTCCCGGTTTCTAAATGAACAGCCCTGATCGTGTTCGTTAAAGGCCCTGCCTGCTCGGGCTGTGCATTTTATCAGAAGCCGCCAACAAGATAAATGGCCCTGTAACTTATTGTTCCACTGCAAAGCACCTCACAGCGAGTGGCGGTACAGATGCCAGGAATAAATCACATCTGATCTTCCGAGAGCCGGGCAGAGCTCCCGCGAGGACGTCAGAGGCAGGGGGAGGCCTGGAGCAGCTGTGGACCCGGGGGTGCAGGGGGCGGTCTTCACTGAGGACCACAGACCTGCTGGGGGGGGGGGTCTTGGTCGGGACCCCAGATGTCTGGGGTGAGCGTCGCTTTCTTCTCTGATCAGCGTCTCCTTCCTCTCCTTAAGGGTGAACAGCACCCATTTTTTCTTTGGGAAAAAAACCCCCCTCCTGGGCTCTCAGGCCATATGGTTCAGGTCAGGCCATCCCTTCCCCCAGCAACAGAGGGTGAACACATGATCCGGCCTGGCCAGTTGGAGCCCCGCACCCCGGCCCGGCCATGAGCGGTTCCGGGTGGGTATACGTACCACGTGATGGGGCTTATCAGGTCTCTACTTCTGTTGAAACCCTAAGACAAGAGTAGTCGTTTTTTTCAAAATGTTTATCTATTTTGAGAGAGGGAGAGAGAGAGAGAGAAACAGCGCGAGCGGGGGAGGGGCAGAGAGCGAGAGGGAGAGAGAGAATCCCAAGCAGGCTCCACACTGTCAGCGCAGAGCCCAGTGCGGGGCTCGAACTCATGACCCGTGAGATCATGACCTGAGCCGAAATCAAGAGTCGGACGCTTACCCGACTGGCCACCCAGGCGCCCCAAGAGAAGTTCTTCTAAACCAACGTTGCTTGCAGAAGGGATGTCCTTTTCATTGTGGTATCTCCAGCTCCCAATACAATTATACACTCATAGTAGGTGCTCAATAAAAACGTGCTGAAGGAATGAATAAGCCAGCTGGAGTCAAGGCAGCCGGGTTCTTGTCCGGGCTTAGACACGTGAACTGTAATGTTGAGAAGCTCTTCTCCCCACTCTGGGCCTCAGCGTCCTTGTCTACAGAATGAGGTTAATAACAGCACTTAGCAATAGCAGGTTTCGTCAGCCAGCTATCGTCACCAGTATGCTGCATAACAAGCGGCCCCTCAACTCAGTGGCTTCAGACAACAATCACGCGGGGCACCTGGGTGGCTCAGTTGGTAGAGCGTGTGGCTCTTGTCTTGGGGTTCGAGCCCCACGTGGGGGGGTAGAGATTACTTTAAAATACAATTGTAAAATAAACCATCACGCATTATCAGTTACACCCCTGCCCGGGGCTGATCCAGGCCCGGCTTGGCTGGCCCACCTGTCTCTCAACCCCCGTGGATCAGTGTTTGTCCCGCACGATGGCAAAGGTGCAGAAAAGGACAAGGTCCCTTGAGGGCCAGGCACAGCATCAGGGACACCTCATTCGTCCGGCCAAAGCAGGTCAGAGCAGGGGACTTACGCTCTTGTGGGGAATGGAGAAGAGCGGAGGCCAGCCGTGCGCCCTCCACGCGGGCGCGACGCGTTTCCTTGCTGCGCGCCTGCCTTTTCCCCTAGAACGGAACCTCCCGGGGTGCGCGGCCCTTTATCTGCTCTGCTCACTGCGGAAGCTCCAGCACCTGGAACAGGCCTGGGACAGAGTAGATGCTCAGCAAATACTTGTGCAAAGACTGAGCTCCCCGCACCGTCGTGAGGACAAACCCAGGTCAGGGACGCAAACGACGTGTCGAGAATTACAAGATCCCTCCGAGAGTCCGTCCCGATCCTGTACCCCATACCCTGGCCCGGAATCCGCTCCCCCTACTCGGGGATGGTCCCAGCTCAGGCCCCTGATAAACAACAGAGCCAACTGCGGGTGGGGGTGTCACACCTGGGGACCTGCCTCCTGACCTCGGCCAGTCTGTGCTCAGTTGTGTCTCTCGCTCTCGTCCGGCCTGGGGATCCTGGGGAGGCCCCACCGTGGCGGCTCAAACCCATCCCCCTGGATCAGGAAGTTCAGGTTCGGCTGAGACCTGCTGAGGTCACAGGTCTCTCTGGGCTGAGGAGGAAGTGTCCCGAAGGGCCCCAGGACAGAGGGACAGCCTACCACGCTTGGCTGCGTGCTCGTCCGAGGGTCCCCGAGGCCACAGTGCTGCCCTGTGTGGTCTCCCCGGAGCGCTCTCTCCTATCTCTTGAAAACGGCAAAGTCGCAGAGCCCCCGGCCCCCTCCCTGTCTGCTCTTCCCCGAGGAAGCCTCCCCACGCCCCCCCACGTCCATCTGGCCCTCAGCACAGCCCTCCCTCCTGGTGGCCCGGCCTCCCCCACGGCCGCCCAGCACGCAGGAAACCTCTCCCGTCTGCCCCCGCGCTCAGCACAAAAACCTTCCCCCTCTCCGGGCCCAGCCGAAAGCACCAAATGTTCCTCTATTATGCAAGCTCATTTCTCTCTTCCTGCCGGGCCGAAATTGCAATCTGCACAGGGGAGGAGGAGGCCTGGCTGGGGAGGCCTCTGAATCAGGAAGCTGAACATCTGTGAAGGCAGGAAACCTCCCTCCTGCCCTGCCCACGGCCACACCGTCACCAGCCCTCACCCTTCCCGCAGCCCGGCCGGGCCGGCCACCAAACTCCAACCCAGCCCGTCCCTCGGGCTTCCCCGGGGCAGAAAAACTCAGGGTGTGTTCCGATAGAGCTTAAAGGCAGGTCAGCTACAACACATGCCCCCTCCCCACCCCCCACCCCGCCCCGGGGTCAGGGGAGAGGGGGGAGAGGTGTCACACGCATGATCATCAGACAAGAACTTTGCCTAAAACAACACGTGGGTTTTATCTGCTGAGCGCGGGCTCTGTGCCAGGCACCGCTCTCATACTCCCTTCTCCCTTCATGGATCCATGCTATTCTTATCCCCATTTCACAGAGGAGAACCCTGAGGCTCAGCGCAGGCAACTCACGTGCAAAAACACAACTACGAATCAGCAGAGCTGGGATCCAAACCAGGCCCCGGGACCCTGGAGCTTGCCCAGTTGACGCCTGTCAAATGTGTGATCACGGTTCTTGCCTCAGAGGCTTTCCCCGCCAGGCGACAACGTACTACCTCTTGTCCAGCAGTCCTGCTTCTGGGCGTATACCCAGAAGGGTCGGGGCAGGATCTTGAAGAGGTATCTGTACGCTCTATGTTCGTGGCAGCGCGATTCGCGGTAGCTAAAACACGGGAGCCGTCCAAGTGCCCAGCTGCGGACGGATGGATAAGCAAAACGTGGTCTAGCCACACGATGGAGTATTATTCAGCCTTGAAAAAGGAGACCTGTTGAAAAAAAAAGGAAAGAAAAGAAAAGAAAAGGAGACCGGAGACCTGTTTCTGACCCCTGCTCCCCCATGGACGAGCCTGGAGGACACGATGCTGAGTGAACGAAGCCAGCCGCCGAAGGACAGATACGGCCTGACCGCACTTACACGAGGCGCCCAGAGGAGCCACGTTAGAGACAGAAAGTAGGATGGTGGCCGCCAGGGGCCGGGGAGGGGACCGGGGAGTCAGTGCTTCTCGGGGACAGAAGGTGGGTTTGACAGCTGAGAGTTCCGGAGACTCGTGTGACAATGATGCGAACGTACCGAACGCCGCGAGACCGTTCGCACACCGTGAGAGGTGTGCAGCCGGCTGGATGTCGTAAGAACTTGACTCAGTCTGTGCCAGATTGCCCTGAAGGTCCCAATTCCACACCCCGACCCGTCTCCGTGCCCTTCACGGGCCCCGAGGCTGGTTCCAGCCAATGAGAGTAGGGGTGTGTTCCTGCCTGCCCTCCCACCCC